AAACAATTCCTTACATTATTTATTTATTTTAATTTGTAGCTTCTTTGTTCGTTCGATTTGTCTTGTTTTTGTGTTTTGCTGAAACACTCCAATGCGGCTCATCTTGATTTTAGCCTTCATTGTCTTACATTCCCGTCACAGATATTTAACAGCATGTTCATGAACCTGATACACCGTGGTAAATAAAGAGAAAGAGAGGGGGAGGGGAAAGCTATGAAGCAATTTTGTTTAAAAAAACTATTGTTTTTCTTCATAAGCGAACTCAAACTTATTTTATATTTATCTTTGTACTCTATTTAACTTTTGATTAACGTAAATATTTCTCTTTTAAGCACCACCCGAACCGAACTCATCGAACATACTAAGGCACATTAAGGGTTACCTAATATTAATGGATATTGCACTGTTGTTGTGGCACTTTTCAATTTAGGTAAAGGTCGCACTTAATATTAGAAACAATACTTATCGATGTTTATTACAACTTCAATTTGACTAATTTCATTTATTACTACTTCAATTGCAAGCTTTTAAAATTGTTTTCTCCTATTTTATTTTCCAGGGTCTTTGTTCCAACGAAAAGATGAAGAGGGTCAAAATCATTAAAGGATTGCTCCAAATCTTAAAAGGGGTTGAACAGAATTACTTTGCGATGGCTTTCGCAATAATTAAAACTTTGTTAAGCGTGCTTGAAGGTAATGGTAATACCAAAAACATTTTTAGAGCACTTGATATATATATTAACCTATACATTAAAACTGAGTGGATGCTGCGATAGACCCCTCATGGAGTTTCAAACCAAAACTACCAAAATTCTTTTTAAAAGCTCTTTTCACATTAGAATGTAAAAAAAAACCTTTCAGGATACCAAGAAAATGGTGAAATTTTGTGTAACAAAAAGCTACTGAAGAGGATTTTGTTTTTGTGAGGTCTAAGGGGTCATCATACTCAGGTCTATTGATTTGCATGATCATGATTGGACACTGAATTCAAGATGAAAAATAAACCAAAGTACAAATCAGAAACCAAAATGAAAAATGAAACCATAAGCGATGCAACGTGGAAATAAAAAAGCAAAAACAAAAACAAAACCAAAAAAACAACTTATAATAATAATGACTATAATACCAATGATAATAATAGCAATAATAATACTCTTATTCTTAATTTACTAATCTAATTTTTTATCTTCGTTTTGCTTCGTTTGTTTGTTTTTGTTTGTAAATTATGCGTATTTGCGTGTGTCTTCAAGTAGTCAGTTGAAAATAACATATTTGTAGTAAGATTTACATATGTAAATGAAAAAATATGAAATAAAATTTCCATTCTAATTATTTTGTTTATTTCAACTTTAACTCGTTTTATAAGTATTGCTCTTAGTGAAATTGCGGATACATTATATTTCTAAGCAATTCCCAGTTATATCAAGTCAATGTCAGATCAGATGTATGTTCATTTAAAGCTATGCAAAGCTTTCACTATCTGAAGATATTACTATCACTATTATTATTATTATTATTATTATTATTATTAAGGTATCACACATTTATGTTTTTATTTTATTTACTTTTTAACCCTTTTCTAAACTTCTTATAAAATACTTACCATTTCATCAATATCTATTATTAAATATATGTATTATTTATTTTATATCTCCGTAATATTCACAGAACACTGCAAAAACAGTCATTGGATACGGGAATTTAGTTAAGGAATATAAAACGCACGCGAATACCTCGTTCCGTTGATATAAAAAGCTGGGAGCTCATGAGGTTGAGCAAGAGAGAAGCAAGCTTAGGAACCCGAGCAATAGTTGAGCGTTTCTCTTGCTTTTCACAGTACAGAGACATAACAATAGGTTTTGTATAGCTTTTGTAAAATATGTGCGGGAGCGTGTCCCTTTCCTTTGATATAAACACGGTAGCAAGGTAATCAGCGCGCGTGTGCAAATATTTTATAATACTATTTTTATTTGAAAGAGCTACG